CCGATTAAGAGCTAAGTTACGTTTGGCTGATGCGATTTTGGCCATGATTGCTGCAGCGGATAGGCTGTATAAGAAGTAAACAAGGAATCTTTCTCATTTCAGAAGGTCTCCACCTAAATGTGATTTAAAGTTATTGTTATTAGATCATAGGTTTAACTCACGATGTGCACTGAACGATAATTTCTAGCGTATTGCCTATACGTAGTTAAAAAGAAGACGCCGCGAATTCGCCGTTTCCTGTGGGTTCTAAAGTATCAAGCCTTTGTCTTTGAATGCCAAGATTTTATGTTAGGAGTTATGCAGTGTTCTGTGATAATTATCTTAGAATTAGCGGTAGCATGGCTTTTACTAACCAATATATGTTAGCGTGTAAGAAAATTATGAGAGCAATTTGGGACTTACTTATCTACGGGTATACAATATAAATATATAGGGTTACGTGAAATCTCTCTCTCAACATATCGTTAGGAAGAAACACTTGTGTCAACAGCTAGTTCGCGCACATGGGATTGTTCTGCACAAAAGCTCTTAGCCATTGATTACCGTCTAAGCTACTTTTCTGTTTAGTGCGAAGCGTCAGCAGGACGCTCGAGTGGATCAAACGCAGTTGTTTAGGATCACAATTACTCCAAGTAGTTGGACACTGAGCGCGTTTCGAAGATCGATGATAGGCCTATCTCAGTGTATTCGCGCTCGTCTATGTTCCCCTGAATTTCGTACTATTTCCCCGCTTAGTAAACGGACAAGTTTCGCAAGTGCCTAACTTGATTATCGTCGAACGCCTTTTGTACCGGCAGTCTTTTGCCTCGGTCAGCTAACCATTGGCAAGTGCGTTGGCGCTTCCTAACTTACCCGGCGGGATAGCTGCTTGTGTGGCCTTAAGTGAGTGGACTAGCGTGTTCTGTCCGTCTTTTGCACTAATGGGGCTACTTCCGGCTAACAAGTCCCCATGAACACATATACACACACGCACGCATAGGTTTACCGCCTCTTCCCCATCTTTGTACCCCTCAGCCCTCCCTTTCTTCCGGCTGGTCCGAAGAGCTGGTACCAAACGGTGCACGTTCTAGCCAGGAGGGCCAATCAATCATTTGAGAGCAGAGGGGCAGCCCTGTCATAAAGAAGGACGCTCGCTACAGCGCACAAAATACTTTCTGCGTGTATAAGACTCCAAACAACATTAGCTCATATTGCCAAAATGCTGCTGGTGGCACCCGTACGACACAAATTATCCGCTCAATGCATTGATTGCCTGTGAGACTCCAGATTATAAATTGGTATGGAACAAAATCATGTACATCATAGAGAAAACGGCCTTTTGTCCGATCTAGCTTGTTCATAGATTAATTATTGTAATAGCTATTGACATATTTAAAAGGTTGGAAGTTTCAAAATTGTTTAAGGTGACTACGTGCGAAGGCGCAATGTTGTGTAATAAATTTATCTTTACACATATAGCAGTACCCTGAAAGTTAAACCCGTTATATTTTGGGACGAGGAGTAAAACTAATTTTAAAACACTTTACCCTATTCGTAGTTTTTCTGGCATACGGAGAAACTCAAATCTATGGCTTGCTTGAAAACGTGGCTTAAAAGTAACAAATCATCAGTTATTATCATCAGAGGGCACATTAATTACTGGCAAAAAGTTGCCTGCTCGTATCGTAGCTAAAAACTATATGTGAACGTCTTGTTTTCATGAAATTGTATAATTGTATAACATTGATAGGTTGAAGCTCCTTGAAAAACAACTATAACAAAATGTAGCCTTATTAGCGTTTTTTAAATGGTATGGTACCTTATGAGGTATATCGATAACGTTCAAAGTCAAAGATCGCGCACTTCTTAATAACTTAACCCAAAAAGGGCAGTCATAAAGTCGTTACTGTAGAATGGTCCTGCGGAAGATTTGCATAAGGGACCTACTATGATGAAAACGTACGAACCCTTGCGAGCATTTAAATCGTTAGTGGACCCAGGTTTATATCAGGTTTAGGGATTTTGGCGTACTAGAGAATTTAATAGCACTTAGGGCAAGCCGTGCTAAGTGGGATGATAGTGTCCCTTCCTCCGCGAACAAATTGTATTTATCCTTATCGTCAATGACGAAGCGCTGCTAAGACGGACTTTTGGATGCGTGCTACGCCCATGGGACTGGGATGTTTATAGGGGAGGTATACGAAAAGGAAGATAAGGTAAGGTACTCTTGTCACGTCGAAGATAACAAACCAACAATAGCTGTAGTACCAACCGTAGTACTAGCGAAGGAAATGCCAGACACGGTAACAGTATTCTCGTCGGAAACATACCGTAGCCTTCTGAACTCCTAACTAGATTGAACACCTCTTTTAAGGGTGGACGACATTTAATGATTCTGCCAGTTGATCGAGCGCTTTCAGCGGTGAAGTAACCACGCTTATAGCACAATGAGTAAACAGAAATAAAGAAATATTCCTAGTGCTTGGTTGGAAAAAAATTAGATTTACAACATCACGAATGGCAGCACAGCTATTGTGGTACTCACATTATTGTATGTATATGTGGATAATTGGTAGTGCATCTAAGTATTTTAAGTGTATCTGGATAAACTGCCGCGGTAATTAGGAAGGTGGGATAATGTACTCGCAACCAAAGAGCCACAAGTTCCTGCCTAATTCACCAGCCTGGATCTACTTACGGAATAAACACTCCGTTCTCCTCGATTCTTATCTTATAGATAACCGACATCTTCCACAGTACTAGGGTAGAAGGATCAGTGTCGTAAATATCTAGTGCATGGAACACTGGTTTTTAGTATTTGACTAACAACAGCTTAAAATCCAGTTTTTTTTTTTTAGTCTCTAAAATAGAAGGTATGTGTAATGGATTTGTTCTATGTATGTTTGAAACGATCGTTACTACGAGGCCTTTAGGAAATGTTTTGGTATTGCAAGGGTTCAGCGACGTGCAAAAGCTGAGGCACTACACGTAGCTGTAACTTCGAACAAATCTAAATACACTTTGAACTTTCACTGTTGTCCTTATCGAATATGAAGTTAAGTGGTATTAAAAAATACTGCTGTGCATCCTTGACGAGAAAAACATAGAAAGCTATTATACATACAGCGCCTATATCTGATACGTTTCATGCGAAAAAATGTGATGTCGTAAAGGATCCAATTGTTCGTTGGGATAGCAGCATCGCAACGATAACGGTGAATGTCAATAGTCTTGAATATATCATCGTCTACGTTATGCAGAGGTGGGGTATATACTTGACAAATAGCGTCTCAGTTCTCATTTTTATTTATAATCGCGCGGAAGTCAAATCATTGGAGGGCCTTTGAAAAAGTAGCAACAGGACGCAGCCTCCCAGGAGACGTTGTAAAACGAATGTGCCCAAAAACAAGCCATCGATCATATGATGACAGACTTCTAACACAGGTTTCGCTTTTCGAGCCTCCAATCACACGAACGACAGGCGGTAACATAAGCCGTCTGTCTTCCTTCACACTCATTCATAAAAAAATTCGTAAATTTTCAGGAAACATATAATATAGGCTCCTCGAACTGAGTGAAGTTTTTTTTCGATCTTCACTGCTCAAAGGCACTAGTCCTACATTTCGATAGGCACTTCGCAGAGTCGTCCAAGCGTCGAATTGAGTGTTTTCGAAGAAGTATCAAGTTTAAGGGCTTTCTTTGTAGCAATAATGGAAAACCACTGTATTTTGTACTGATACAACTCGTGGTTACAAGTCTCTTCTCCAGGAGCCGCGTGTTTAACGTAATGATTATAAATGAAAGTATTAAAAGTGGCCTCGAGGCTCGTTAATCTCCAAACAGGCTAAGTGAAAATTGTGGTGAATCGTGTAAGGAGCTAGCTAACCGTGCTTACCGGCATTTAGAGTACGATATTACACTGCATCGCATCGATAAATGCCCTACGAAAGGAATTTATTCCCGCATTCGATGAACGGTAAGGTAGAAATTGTAATCAACTTCAAGTTTATACGTTTCATGTTGATAACTCAACATGAAATTCTTTGTCAAGGTCTAAAATGTTCCACACGGTCTAGAAAGAGACGTTTTCTTGTTACATTAGGTGCATCTGCAATAGTGGGCCTATCCTAACAGCCAGAGTAATTATGCTAGTACTTGGATCTGCCAGCAAAGCGGTCCACGGCTTCGTTGAGGTAGAACAATACATTTACATCATTACCAACTGAAAACACTTATGGTACGCGACGGCAGGTTTAGATGACGCGACACTACGACGACAGTTTATTACGCGTAGCAGAGAAACATATTGTTTATCGACGTTTACCGGAAATATGCCATTGCGCCTATATATGCATCATTCACTTCAAAGTAGCCTGTATCGTATCAAGTGAGGAAAATTATTATTAACACGCTGATAATATTCCATCGATTTGTGGTGTCTACGACTTATGTTGCGCATTCACATTAAACTGTCCTGGCAAAGACCTAAAGGATCGCCTTGGGTACGAAATATCATACTAGGACAGCGTGGTGACCTGGATTACTTACCTACGTACAACAAATGAAGATTGTATGCTAAATTAAATTAAATTGTACTTGTTTTGAACCTGGCGCTTTTGCACAGAGGCACTAGAGGCGCAGTTCGGCGCATAGAAAGGAACTTACATTGCTTTTGCTTACAGTAACCGATATCTTAGAATCAGTCAAACGTAATCGATAATGTTGTTGCGTTCTGCATTACCAGGAAAATGAAATGTTAATATTACGGCATCGTAGCGTACGACCTAGCGCAATATTTCATGTCGCATAGCCCTTTTCTGTATTGTACGATCATGCCAAGCAAGCTACACTTGCGCTAATTATCAGAATCCTTAGATCCTGAAGTATGAAAAAGAGGATATTTTGTTTCCATTCGAACGCCAACATCACTTAGGGAAAGCGCTCTCCCCGAGGTTATATATATATGTGCAGATGTAGCAATAGTCATTAAAAAGTAAAACGACGAAGTCGACGCACTTGACCCAAACGGGGGTTGTTCAAGCAAGCTGCTGCTGCTGCTGCTGTTGTTCGCGTTTCACAAATTTACATTGGGGAGAAACCCTCTCTAACGCTCTGGCAAATCCCGCTTTTTCGCGAGATCTCCTGCTATACATATGTATCTTGCCTCTCGTCCTCTTTCACTTCCCTGCTAAGTTTCGTTTATTAAGTTTAATGACGCGGCGGTAGCTCGACCATGCCAAAGAACAGGAAGGAACAAGCAACAACCGCTAAGTGCACCCAACTGTAAGACTAGAAAGAAGTGACGGGTAGTTGCACCAGCAGCCAGTATCGGAGTCTCAGCGAAGAACAAGGAGAGATACCCAAAAAGGCGAAGCAGAATGGGCCTTTTTTTCGGTTGCTCTCTTCTGTTGGCCTCCTAACAACTTGCACGTCGAGCAGCAGTGGTCCGATTCAAGAATCAGTTTATGACCGAAAGAAGGATTAGGGAACTGTACAAAAAAAAAAAGGACTGACGAAATTGAACTGATACAAGTAGTGAAAGCACTAGCTGTGCTGATAAGGAGAGGCGATGCTCTGCGTAGTTAGATATTGACTTACTACATCAACTACTAGTTATTGCTCTGGCTATAATCCAGGAAATGCTTGAAATTAGCAGAAAACAATTTCAGAAAATCAGTGATATGTGGCAGACCGAGATCAATTCTTCCGGCCGTTGTATACAGGAATCAATCCGTTTCTATAAGGCATGCGGACTTTTACTCAAACCACGGTGCTGGGCTTTGCGCGTTCGAAGTGGCTTTTCACGTTGCCCCAAGTTTCGCGACACTTCAACGACAATCTTAAATCGCTTTTACCTTCCTTAACTTCAATATCGCTGAATCACGACGAAGGGAGCTGAATCGTTGTATTGTCAACCGGCTTTTTGATATGTGAAAAAGAGTCGCGCGCTTCCATCAAAGCCCCGCGTTCATTTGAATGAATGTAGTCACGTTCCATGTTACGGAGACTAGCTCACTGACCTGGAAAACTTCCTCTTTAGCTGTAGTACAGCGCATTTTTCTTTATCCTTGCCAAAACTTTGTTGTATTTAGAGGTCCTTAATGCACCGGCCTTGTCAGAGCTTTCTAGTTTCACAGATATTAGTAAATCCAGTTGTCACCTATGAACTGTTCATAAATCCAAGATGAGCGTACGCACTATCTCGCATCATCTAATATTGGCTCAAGCTTTCCACTGGCATTTAAAGATCGAGGGTCTTCCATTTTTTTTTTCTTTCAGATTCCCTTCTGTGTCGTATTGCTCTCGTTTACGGGGTGTTCGGACTAAACTTGGACCCATTTCGCGAGCTGTACATAGCAACGGCGGCTTGCGCTCATCGATAATAGTTGGTACTGAAAGAAAAACAATTCTTTTCACAGCAAAATCTCATGACAGAGGCAGAACTGTAAAGCTCGAAACGTGAGCAAAAATTGTTTATTGTTTGTTGTGACGTATTTGTTTCAAACGAAATTTAACCAAGTGATCAATTTTTCTGATGTCCTGAAGTCGATCTAAATTATTCTCAAATCCATGATTTCTGAATAGAGGGTCAAAATTAGACTAAGGCTGTAAAACGTATCGAAATTCGTTTTTTAAGCCTGGAATTATAATGCAGAAATTAGACTAATTTTGAACGGACATTATACATTGTTGATTAAGCTCTGACGGTTAGTTTTCTCTTGAGCTTTTCCCCAACTTCTCGGTTGTGTTGCACTCCTTGGCACTTTTAGGCCCTCGGATTGTAGAGACTGTCGGTTTAGTACATGCCTAAAATTTCAACTTAATAGCTTTTGAGTCTGGCGTACTTGAACAACGAAACTTTAACAAGTATAATTATGTTCTAAAAGTTGATCGTGAACTTGGAGAGAAACGTATGTTTAATGATTTGTTTTGTTCCATTGGGGAATGTCTCTATCGATAGATGAAAAATGTCAGTCAAGCATTTGTTTTTATGTAGATGGCAGCTTATAAACACTCGACTGCAGCTTATAAATACTCGACATAAGTATTGTCTTCAATTTATTTTAAACACCTTGTAGATCTGTATATTTTGTTTGGTATATGAAAGTATTTTCTGATACCTATTTTACCCTATAGGTTTCTGTACCGTATTTTGGATCGGTATATTAACTTCGTACATAAAAATAGTCCGGATTAGCTAATGTTTGTCTAACCCTCTCAATTCCCTTCCGAAGTAATTTCCAGCGGATGTAACATACCTTTTCGTTCTTTGTGCGTCGAGATAGTTTTCGGCTTGGTTAGCAATTTTTCCTGTATTTTTTGGAAACGCTTCTTGTTCAAGCTTCTCTTTTGTTGTGTAAATAGGAAACAATCACAACAGCCAAGGTCTGGTGAATGCGGCGGTCGGCGAAACACACGAATTTTTTGGCAAAGACTACTGAACAAACAGTGAAACGCAATTGATGCCTTAACGTGATGGAGCAGCCAATACTCGTTGTTGTGCCACGTATTAGTATCAGACTTACGCAGTCTTCTTGAAACTTCTTAATTGTACTTCATGATGACTCTGGATGGCATAAATGATTACCGACTGTTAACGAAAGCTTTCTGACGCCTAAGCGGTCGGTAAAAATGGCCTGACATGAGCCAATGGAGATCACAGTGTGCTCTGTTAGGTCTCTTTGTGATTCGCGGGTTGACAAACACAAGTTATTCTAACTCCTCCTGTCTAGCTTCGAAGCGCCTGAAGCAGTCGCTATTTTAAACTTCATTCAGTGTATGGTTTCTGAAAGCATTCTGCAACGTCCGGAAAAATGTTTGCTTTTTTTTTGTTGCCGAGGATGATTCCGTGGCGCAAAAACGCAAAGGACTCTTTTGTTTCGACCACCCGAGAAAGCAATAAAAGAATGGCTCAAAAAGGCTTATCTATTTAGGACGCAATTTTTTCTTGAAAAGCCCTGTTCCAAATATGACTTACGCAGTAGACAATTGACCTCAGAATTTAAACATGTTACAAACCAATGAGTGATTTGTGACTAGTCTAAATCTTGACTAGATTGTGCGCGAAGGCTATATTCGTTGGCTGGCGTGATCTCTAACGTCTTCGATATGTCTACAGAGACGGAGCTGATAAATTATTGTCTGTTGACGGGACCCAAATGGGCGCTTTTGGAGTGTTCATGACATCCACATTGCTGCAACTGCGTAAAGCAAGCAACGGTGAACGTTGGCCGACACGCAAACGCAGAAAAGTAGCCCACATGGAATTGCCAGTTGGGTTGGCAAAAAAATGAATAGGGTGGCTTACTATGAGGCAGCGCATTGATGACGATGCCCACTGTAAAAAAGGCAGCCCCTATCGCATTTCGATGGGTATTTTTCGGCATTGCCAATCTTGTTCACAGGCGAAACAAAAAAGAAAAACACAATCGCCTAAGTTGAACGTATCGAATGCTGACATGGTGTTGATTGCTATTAAGGAAACGCCAAATTCGCTAATACGGAGTGCCTCTCTTCTACAAATACATACATATTACTTTAATTTGTGGATGTAACATCACATATTAGACCGAAGAGAGGAAAAAGTCATAATTTAGAAGAGTAAACTATTAGAATATAACATGTGTGGAATTTCTGGGTAGTCTATATTTAATTGGCCGATGACTGTATCTGTAAGAATACTTACCACATATTTTCTCAGCTCTACGTTTAATTGCTTCGGTATATAAACTACCTATGACTCCCACATTTTCACCCTCGTAAGAAGTAATGTTGCGTGAACCTTGCGAGCGAACCCTATCGACAAAAAAAGTGCTCTCGAGTGTTCGTTTGCTATTGACGTTCGTTCGACACGCAATCGTTTGACCTATTATCGTGCCGATATAAATGCGTGAAATTCACACGCGCAGTATGAACTAGCTTTGTCCGGCAATTTTAAGGGAGCGCTCTTGGAGGTCAGCCCGCTGACACAGTCGTTCTACAGTTATCCCAGCCTACAAATGGTTATTGGTCCTCTAGGACAGCATTAGTAACCATTTTTTATACTACAAACTGCTGCTAAACTAGACACATAGGTAGGAGGTAGTACGAATTTGGCTGTGTAGGAAAAGGTGCTCTTAGCATCCAGACGTAATCGTAAACCTAGCATATGAAATAAAGCCAGTGAGTAGTGTCGCCGATCGAATGAATTGCTCAATACAGCTGCTGCGGACGCAGCATGTCCTGTCACCAAAGCATATTCATTAATAGCATATTTTTGTTCGCTTCTGTTTCTATTAGAAAATAAACGAAGGCGTACTTCCCGCGAACCGCTCTATTTCGTCGGTTTTCGTTTCGACCTTTGCTAGTGGTGCCAATCAAGATCATCATACGCATCCGTTATGCTTTTGCCTACTCCCAGAACTCGCTGGTTCGGACCCAACTGCAGACAAATCTCTTTATAGCGGGAGAAACACATCGCGTGTGTGCGTCCGTATCAAAGCTCTTCTAGAAAGATATCGTACATCACCATGAGGGAGGCCCACGTTGCAACAAGCTTGTTGCAGGCAGATTCAAGTCAAGAAAGCAGTGTCCATTATTATAGCAGGGCACGCTTTGAGAGAAGGAAGTATAGACGCCACCTAAGCCTTAGCATGAGCTAAAGCCTTAGCTTTGCCATTGCAACAGCTACCAGTACATCTCGTGCCAATTACTCTTCTCTTCTTCCTCAGGACACCGGCGGCAGCCTAGAAAGAGATCATAATGTACGTATATATTTTATTATCGTATGTGTATAGGCTAAATTAGCGGCGATGATGTTGAGTTTATAGATTAGTTTTCAAAATATGCCAGTGCTCTCTATGTTATTCCGTCGGGAGGCTGGTTGGCTGGCTAGCTTCCAGCATGAAACGAGCATATTTGAACTTGAGATTTGCTGGCAAATACTAGGCTATTACGGGGACGTCATAGTATTTCCAGATCCTCATATTATCATACAATCTAACATACCTTATCCGCATTCATTCGATCTGTGTTACGTTTGTGGATGAAGGTAAGTTTGTAGGACATGATGTATCTGATTCAGTACGTAAAAGCTTGATTTTCCAGCCTGGTTCTGAAAGTTCAACTTTTATGTGTTTTAAAGTTTATACAGTTTTAGACAAATACAGGCGACTATGTAATCTCACCTTCCAGGGGAGTTGTCGCTTCATGGTTAAAGATTTAGACTCCATTTCAGAAACTTACTGAATTGGTAACGGGTAACGAGATGGACGCTGCTCATATTCTATATCGTACCAGTACGGAGATACGGGTATAAAGTCCAAACAACGCATCAAAGGGCGGTGCATTTCTTACAACCTACACCTGTGCTCTCCAGGGCAATTTGAGACGAAGTTACTCTAACACAAAATATAATCCAGCACGTAGATACTAGTAATTCGTCGCTCCACGTAAAACAGCAAGTACCTTGCTCTTACCTTAAAAAAACTGACTCTGCAGGTGTATGTCTGACAATAAAAAATACATTTTTACAACCTAATTGGGGAAAATTTTAAAAGAAGTAGAAAGTAATTCGGAATCTAACTGGCTTCAATACAGAATATTCCACCAAGCAATATATCCGCCTATATTTATGCTAAATTCTAAGAAAATTAAAATATTAGAGAATTCCTCATGATATAGGAACAAAACCCACGAGATTATGCGCGAGCTCATTGCACCTCCACATTAACATAAGGAAAAATAAAAAGATCCTGTAATATGTATACTTCTATCCTCAGAACCTGCAGTTGTACCTAATATCCGACTACCTGGAGTAACAGGAAATACCGTAGAGATTTGGTGAGAGTACTCCCGAAGTAGAACAAGGTGCATGGTGAAAGCGAATATAAGGGTGTCACAAGAAGACCATAAAACATTCCTCTTGGGATGAGCGCCCGTAGACTCTGATGGAAGAATGAACGGTACTGCCACCTTCAGGATTAGCTTTATATCTGTCTCTTCGCCTCCCCCATCCGCGTTGCTCGCCTAACTTGCCAGCATTCGGCGTGAACTACAGGACAGCAAATACTGGTTTCCTGGCTGCACAGACTTGAGGTGTTCTTGTCCATGGTATCCCTTTATGACTTAAGCATGTCCTGGCTTTTACTATAACATCCTCGTTTGCGTCAAGCGTAGACTCAAATGTGTTCCACTCAGTCGGAAACAAATAACTGCTGGTTATTTAACTTTGAGTCTCTTCGAAATCTAACCTTTTATCCATTGTAATGGATACATTCTGGTTTAAAAATTGTCATTTTGACTGCCTGGGCGACATTTCAAGTTAAATCTGGTCAAATAGAAAGCTGTTCTTCGTATCGAACTTGGAAATGATCCTTAGACCATATCAGTACCATTTGTTCTATGGTATAAGTTATTATATTGCAGGTGAAACGGAAATGAGCGATATCGCCTATATGTTTTCATAGCGAATGCTCCCTTCGATTTATTTAATTACCGTGGAAGGGTTGATTTAGGTAATACTTAATTTAAGTGAAAAACGCTTAAAATATTAAATAAAACACTGCTTTAGGGGATAGGGCCTTATCGTTTTCCACTTATTTATTTCTTCCTTTCAGCCCTTATTGTTCGTTTGCCTAATGATGAACTTCAAACGAGTTTACATAGAAGTATGTCTTAACTTCACTGGATTTACCCTTGTTTTCTTTTCTATTCATATATTCAGTCGTTCTTAATAAATTGCAACTTTGCTCCGACAACTTTGCATGACGGTTGAATTGAGAAAACAAAGATGGCTGGACTGTACCCCGTATGTCCATAGGCGTGCTAGGGCACTGTGAGCGTACGTGCGGCCACACGAAAGAGTCAAGGGTCCTTTCAAGTCGTGGCGTTCGTTCAACGCCACGTCAATTCGGCTTGCTTCTTACTCAGCGGTAAGTAGGTCTAGCAAAAAGCTTATGCGAGTCGATCCATCAAGCAAATAATATGGCAGAGGGTCTAGCGTTTGCACCTTCGGTCTGCTTTCTCTTTTCCTAACAGAAGTTATTCCTGTGGCGTTGTTCAGGGCGCGTCGCTTAGCGTTCGCCTCCTTCAATAAGTAGGCAGCGGTAGCGGCAGCATCGTCTCTCACCGAATCACTTCCTGTTCCTGCTTTTACTTGTTCTCCGCCTTTTTTCGCGTCATCGTGATCATCGCCGTCGGGCGTTGAACAAAATACTCGTGCGCACAGACTTCCTGTAAGGAAAGGAAACCTTCGAACGCCATCGCTTAGACCCCTTCGTTGAGGCTCTTTTATTCTTTCGCCGACTCTCTGCCGTTAGCTATATCGGTAGTGCAAAACAGGGACCACTTCGTTCTCCCGTTTCTCGTGAAGGACAGAAAATAGTGAAAGCTACCGAGAAACGAAAGACCGTACCAGAGAACCAACGACACCAACGGGTAGTGGCGGGAAGTGTAGGCTGCTGCCGCCGCCCGCCATTCTACGGCCTAGCCACTTGCCATGACAAACTTTTGACAACAATATCCCCATGCCCTCGTGGCTCTCCGTCGCCAGTATTTCTTTTTGGTATATGGAGAGAAAGAGTGCCATCTGTGAGGGCGAATTGACGGGCCCGTTAAGGTGGGACAGTGGCGCTCCAGCGCTAGCAAGTGAAGAATAGGAGGATCAGGAAAAGAAATAGGAAGAGGTATGAAGAGAGAAATGTGAGAACGAGTAAGCATGACCACTTCTGAGTGAGTCTTTTGAGCGACGGCCTGATTACGCAGGCGACTTTTTCCCCAGCAGCGGCCCTGCCAGACTCAATCAGGAGAGACCTGCGGAAGCTTCTGAGAGCCAACAGCGGTAGCCGCCAGCCGTCACTGCTCCCTGCGGTTCTTGCCTTACACCTGCTTGGTTCACCGACAAAAACTTCTTTTATTAATGTTCACACCGCGGAGCCTTACCTGTACCGATTGCTACACCAACAGCAATGTGTAAAAAGGCCAACTTGCGCGATTCAGAGGAAAATACGGAGTAAAATCGATGCTGATGATAACGTTGATAAACTGAAGTCAGCGATGCGTACAAAAGGAAAAGCACGCTGTTAACCAAAGACGGGCTTGGGGGTGTGTAAATGTGCCTAGATGTTTGCTTGTTCTCTTCCCATTTTTAACCTTTACAATAACATGGATGCATATAATACTATACAACGACACTTCTAAGCCAAGTAGATGCCCGAATATTGTGATCTACGACGTAGCAATCATCGATACGACTGATTTTTCCAAAGGGGAAAAACGTTCCCTCTTACTATGTTGCTGGAATTACCAGGAAATTGTGTATCATTAGAAACATTTGCTTCATGGCAGTTTGCAAAATGCTGGTAAAACTACTATGACTAATTCACCAATACGATGATACAAATATGGAACTTAAAATTATATATATAAAATTCCATCGCTTCAAGTTACAAAAAAAAAAAACCTCATCCTTGATGTAATAGAATTGTACTTGGGCTAAAAAAAGGACATGTTTTTGACAAAATTATCTATAATACAGATCACTGTGAACTGCTGTTGTAGAAAGTATTATTATTTAAATTTATATTAAGAACTCATTTTCGCCACGTTGGATTTTTTTTTCTTGTTGCTTATTTGGCGAATCCCGTAATAGTAATATTATATCCACGACAAGCCTGCCGTCGTTAATTGTCACATACGTCGATACGTTTCGTTTTTTGTAGTTAGTAAAACGGTAAGTAAACCAAATTGAAACATATCTAACTTACCATATGTATGTTGTTTGATTGTGTATAGAAATGACTTCCTATCATTATCGAAATCTATCGAATGGATTCGGTCCATCTTTGAAAATATTATGATTTCCTTGTCTGAAATTTCTCAGTGCGACACTCTGTTATCAGAAAACCATATATATATGTTCATTGGAGAATATTGACATTGTTAAATATAGTAAGCTAACGTACCAGTTGAATGAAATACGCCCTAGAAACGTTCAAATAGAACAAAATCTATCAATTAAGTGAACTTCAGATGATCGCTGGTATTCACAGCTAACAAACATGACATTTACACATAGGTTCAGCAACAAACGTTGACAAATGAGAACTAACTTAATGCTGTAGGGGTCGTTTATTGGACAAGCGGTATTGGTTGACATGGGTTCACATCCATTATCGCGTGCGGTCCGTCCGACGCCCGCAACGAGTAACCTCGTCCACAAAACATTTAAATAACATTCTATTTGGATCCATCTGCACAGGGGCATGTATGTGACGCGATATGCATGTCAAAGATAAAAAATCAATTATATATTTGATGAAAACCAAATGAGATAGCAAATACATCTACGAAATCGTAGCTCGAAACAATTTCAGAATTTAACAATTCAAATAGCATTCTCAAAGGCTCAAAATTCACAACGCCAATATCTGCGCACAGACAATGCATAAGTTGAAAACATATAATTATGAACTTGTCTGGTCTATCTCACTAGTTGTTTAGCACTACTCTGGCAGTCGGAATAATCTTATGACGTTTTGGCATGCTTTGACTAATTCGGAACCATCAATTCAAGTTACATAGAACAGGACTGAATTGCAAGGACATTATAGACAATACAATTTTTACGTGGCTCTAATTTAGTCCACTGTGAGTAGCCTGATCGCCATGACGATACTAACACGCCCTGCCGGCCTACAAATTGTAGCTTGTAGCCTTTCCTGCATATGTGTTAGGTGTTTTATGTTAATATCACCGATGTTCAGGACGATAAAGGTTTACCGGTATTTATAACTATATAGCTTGATGCAAAAGAACTAATGTGGGATTGCCATTAAAACTGCAGGTAACTATGAAACAAGTTAGTGATTCTTTGCGCACAAACAATATACTTAAACAGAAAAGCGTACAGGATTACGTGTGCTTAATACACTCCAACCATTAATATTTTTAGTACATTGAGGCCTATAGGCACATGTGATCGTAACACACGATGTGTTTGTGTTACATTAATAATCGCTATTTATCACCCAGTGTAATGAGATATATGCTCTGGATCCGGAAATTCAGCAGGCCTTTACAGGACTGATCGAAAATGGCCAAATCGGTTCAGTCGCTCGTTGCAATCCAACACGCCAAATGCGTTTTGCGCGCCTGAAAACGATATGCGCCCATGATCAGGAGCAGCTATACAAACAAGCTTACTCCATCACAAACGTCATATGGCTCAATCTACGGCGGTATGGCGACTTGCCTAAAAAGTGTACATCTATTGTAAATCGGCGCAAAAGCTATAAGAGGCTAGCGTGAAGGTAAACCACGTTCTCTGCAACAAGATTACCGAGGGACCCATAGAATAAGAGCTCAGAGAGAGAGGGAAGGTGGTAGAAAAACCATCATTATGTGTATATAGTGAGACGAACAGGACAGCATTTGAAATCCCAGAAAAATTAATGCACAGCTTGGGCTAGAAAGAAGAATACGAATTTTTCTTGTCCCCTGTGTCCTATGTAGAAATAGGCGATCCTGATCTGCGTCGCCATCGTAAATGCTATCTATTGATAAGCGCCGTCGTCGCCACGTGCTTGTTTGCCGCTAATGAACTTCCTCATTGCCTATTTAACTAGTATATAGTTGTAGCAGTAGTTTGCAAAAGTCCCCAACGCTGTTCCCTGAGCTATGCAGTACCGGAGGAGCCAACTTTGGTGATAACAGGAAGAAGACGGCGGCGAGCAATCACCATGCAAATCGAGCGACCCCTGTAGCAGCGGCTGTCGCTGTTTTCGCTCACGTTACCTGCGCGACTCCACTTCTTCAACTCCTTGATCCCGTTTCTTGTCCTAGTGACGCCTTTGACCTGCCCGAGGGACATGCCGACGGCAACCTGGAGGTTCCACTGTATGCCTAACAGAAAGTGCTACGCACGACAACTGCACTCTACTCCGTCTTTACATGCCGCCGCCCTGATTGGCTGGATACGTAACATTTATAAACGCCGTACAAGTAACCGCGCCGGATGACAATATAGCAGGAAAGAATTTCTATGGCAACTCTAGCGAAATAGGCTATTAAATCGCTTCAAGACGAAGACATTGTTAGGGAGCATCGGGGTACTACATAGCTTATTTATTTTTGACGCGATATAAAATTTACTCATTATTGACTAACTGATAAGATAATAGGGAGCTTAAGACGCATCGAGTCAGTCGAAGTGACGAGATGGTATCGTGCAGTCACGCGGCGTTATGCTTATCGGGACCAAGGTATCGTTAGGAGCGCAAAGCTGACACAATAATATGCGAGTTTTTTAGGTGATAAAAATGTAGAAAAGGTGCATGGGCGAAAAAAACCCACAAAGTAAAAGTCCAAGCCCTTGCGAAAAGTGTATATTTTAGCCATTCTCAGATCTCTAGAGACAAAATGTTAAAACCAGCAATTGTTACTTTACAGCGATAATGAGCTATAAACAAATGGTATAATTAGCGTCTTGATAACTTGTTTATGTAATACCCTTATTAAATAAGAACGTTTTATTTTCAGAGCTGAAAGCTTGTTCAACATTTTGTAATACCTGTTTCTTTCGAAAGGTTTCTAAAGTAATATATTATAGAGATATACGAGACAACATGGAGTAAGGTTGATCATGGAAAATAAACTCTATATATAATGTATATACATTAGAAACAATCGTATTGAGTGCTCCGTTTGCGAGTTATTTTTGCCGGTGGTCAGAATGCGATCGCATATTTGAGTCCTGCTAAACCCTTCAGACAATTTGCCTTTACTATAGACTGAAGAACTTCGAATTATCTGTTTAGCTAAACAAAAGCTACAGAGAGTGATTGAAGTTACAGTATGGAGATTATTATAGAGTCAGTACACTTACGTTTTGCAGTACTTTACTTATTTACGTACCAAATACAAATGAATTCTATAATAGTGCTCGTTCCTTTGGGGGTACAGCGTAGTTTGGTTATTTAGACTTGACAGTTATTGCCTGCATTAAATGCATGACTGGTCGCTTTTACAGCGGTACACTGCTGGTAATGCACCTTTAGATCTGCATACAAGCTCTCTCACACTCAGGCACCCAGTAAGGCCCATCGCCATAGACGACTTTTCGAAAATCGAATAACATGCTAATGAACGCTAACCTCGCTGCATTCCCCCATTCCTTCAATCCCCGATTTATTACCCCCGGGCCTCATCTCTTCAAGTTTCCCATCCGCTTCTATGGGACGAGGTGGTTTTGGACTGAGGAGGAAGTGAGCGGCAGAGAGAAGGCTTTGAAAAGAGGATTACCGAAAAGGGTTTGGGGGTAGAAAAGTAAGAGCGGTGCTTAATGAGGGTTTATAATTCAGAAAACTCCTGTCCTCATTAACGTTCAATCATCTGCTTTATGTTGAATACGTGAAGTTTACTTTGCACACGAATGCGGACATTCAAACGATACCATTTGTCTACAATAGCGTATATGGATCAGGCGTGGTTTATAAACCTGTACTAACAGCTATATATTCATAACATTGTACAAGAGTATTAAATATTTGTTTGTTAGGAAAAACAAAAAGCTTATTTATACTTGTTGCGTCTGTAAGTAAGCGGTCTGTGTAGCCCTGCCACCATCACTGAGGCAAGCAAACAATTTGCTTATTGGTCAATAAACATCTCAATTTAGTCGTTTTGTACAGTTGCCTTAAACCATACGCCCTCTATTCCAATTTTGCTTTTCAATTAAACAGTGACTGACTTGGAAGTGTTCATAACTAAAGAATAATTTACAAATGCCCCTTGATACTCGGGTCATTCATTTACTTATTTAACAGTTGGCCCTTATGCTCATATTTCACACACATAGTAGTCACTGTTCATTTACCAACAAGTGGTGATTGTAGAAGATTAAAAAAAAAAGCTTATTATTATAATTCCAAGTTGGATATTCTACGAAGCATAATATTATAGAGTGTACAATGAATGATATCTAATACTCTAAATAGTCGAACAAAAAATATCATTGATTGTTATCTGGTTACCTTCAGGTATCTCTCGATTGTTCAACTCCTCGGTGTTTCCTTTATACAATAAGTGAGAACGTGTATAATTAGCGAGAAGTAATTGAGGCAGAGACCTGTAGCGGCCTATGCTTTATCGCGTGCCTTCGCAGCACCAACTCCGTCATATGCATTATCGCCAATGAAGAAGGTTAATATAAATTCAGCTATAAAACGTTTATGGCTGCGTCATAGAAGACGTATTTTACGGGCCTGTGCACTGGTCCTGCAATGCGCAGTATTGTACCGATAAATCTGCCATTTTGCTTCGTTTCAACTTACTTCCGGCAAACCGGCAAAAACATCTTATAAAGTTTTGATGTATGTATAGATGTACCGTGCAGCCGAGTAAAGTGGAAGTAACGGTGCGACGAACGATGTCTTATTGTATGACGATACAGGCAATGCAAATTAGTTCAAACTGAGATTTGCGAATACGATCTGGTCTACGGTAAAGTTAACTATACAAAAAGAAAGTTAAATAGTTAAAAATTAATACTTAGTTGTAGTCACTTATATGCGCAATCTTTCGCAAGAGATTCCAATGCTTAAGTCGTGTAACAATCCCTGAAAATAAAACAATACATATCTTATTCTTACAACTTAATGGGAAAATGGAGTTATGTCTAACGAGCTGTCATATTGAAAGCTGAATTTCAGACTACCAAAACAGCTGAGGCTCAGCTATGATTAAAAAGAGAGGACCCATATAAACCCATATTGATAACAAGTGGCACTAGCACTTTACTTCGTGTTTATACTAGTCTTGTTTAAAAAATATAAAGAAAAAAGAAGAGTTGATAAAAGATAATTATATGTAAATATCGTATGGTATTCAAAATAGGAACAAGGCATTGGCATACATCATACTTTTGTATAACGAAATGAAGAATCGGTTATAATGAGCGAGCACTTAGGATCCATTTGAGAAGGATGCTTCATAGTAGACTATTTGGAAGGTATTCTAATGCTAGTTATGGGCACATGTGCAAGATCATGATGAAGTTTGTTATGGGCCCTTAGCGATCTGAAAGGCTGAAAAGCTGTTGGGTTCACCCCGCGGCAATGAAGCTTCTGGCTTCGTGTGCCGATAACTTCATGTATCCTCACAGTCCTCAAAGGCCACTCGTCGCCCATCCTAAGCGCTAAAGTTCGACATTTTGTTTATATGAAATCAAAAGGTTTCGACGGTCTTTTTTCTTACAACATTGACGGGAAACAGCTTGTTTTATTAGAAAAAATAAGGAATTATTAACTATGACAGCAATCGTCCAAAAAGTAAGAGTTTTCACAGAGGCATTTTGAACAATGGGTGTAATAAGGACGCTACTTTACTGTAGAGACATTATTTACGTTACTAGTGTTTTATCCTTAGATGGACTTTCCTAACTATCACTATTACCAACTGTATTCAGCTCACACGCAGACGAAGACATTTATAGGGCTGCTTCAATATTTCATGTTGTGAATTCGATTTTAATTTTACATATTCGTTCATTTCTAGAGAGCAACGTTTTTGTTTAGCCCTCTTTCATATTTTTTCTATAAGAGCTACAATATCTTGGCATCATCTGTAATGACTTTTTTCGATAGACCCTCTATAATCAAATGCTAGAGGCGCAAGTGCTGTTCAGAACAACCCTATATAAAAAAGGACGACACTGAAAAAATTTAACCTAGACAAAGCACTCCCCCTGCCAAACGTCTAGAACGCATCCACGATTTGCAGCTGAGAAGTCTGTTAGTACGTGCTAAGGCCGCTGCATGATGCCTTCCGAGCCGTTGTACAGGTTTTGAAGACGATCGTCTTATGTGGGATCTAAAGCAAACCCAGGCCACAAACCGTTAAAAGCACCCAAGGGATTCGTCGGGTAAATATGTCGGACCCGCTGATAAGCTGCGTTAGTCTACCCGCACGACTCGTGAAATTTACGTCGCACTCGCAATTTGCTCACTTACCAAGTAGATCCTGCAAAATCTCATGAGGCATCAGTTGTTATCTTGTAAACAAACGACTTCGCTCTTTTTCGAATAAATAACATTGGCAAGAAGTAGCATAGAGATTTCCATGATATAACAGGACAAAAGAAATTGAACTTACGTTCGCTGTGTACAGGCCCGCGCCTCTATACAAGAAAGAACAATATTTCTTATGTTAGGAATCACGCGCTTTAGATGCTCAGTATTAGATATCATGAAAAATCCTATCCCTTGCAGCGTCGATGCTATATTCAAACCGTTCAAGTGGTGCCTGATTGTGTTAAACGTTTCACGTACCTTGCGTACAAACTTACGTGCGACAAACATTCTATTCTTTCAGGCAGGGGCTAGAAACGTTGCGTTACGTTGTTAATTTTTTTCAAGAGGACAGTAGAACGGTTTTCGTGAGCAATGTGCATTTCATGTATACACCTGAGGAATTTTCTGCATGTTTAACATACTACTGTGTTAGAACAAGGATTTCAGTGCCGTTATACAGATCCTAGACGCAGCTTATGGCTAATTTGGCCATTTAATAAATGTACATAGAAGGACGTCTTTTTTTTGTGTAGGGCACCTTACGAAACTGAAATATTTAGAGAAACTGTACTTGTGACAGGCCCCCCCCGGTAATCTGACTTCACCTTCACGTATGTCGTTCAAACCAGTTCACCGATCTGTGCACGCGAGTCGCACAGTCAGATGGCTCGGCTCGTTCGTAGCGAAAGGCCAGTACACCTTTTTATGGGTCTCAAGAGACCGCCCAAGTTTCTAGATGGCGCGGCAGCAGCAGCAGCAGCAGCAAAAATGGTCCACGTATTCTGCTTTGTCGAAGCATCAGAATGGATGAACAGCCTTAGCCATGTATAACTTTAACCTGCCAATTTATTTTAGCTGAACAACTTGATTGCGTGTCGCGTTTATCGGCCGCTTTTTCGGCGCTGTCTTTCTTGACTACAGTTTTATGCACATGTAAACTCCACTGTCATTTAGAAAATAAAGCTGTTACTGAAGTCCGACACTGTGCGCCGATATAAACACGAACTATAGGACGAACAGGTTCTAGCATCCTATCCTATCCTATTGTTCTCCAGCTTCCTTTTTTTGTTTTCTTAAGATTTATTACAATTGTAATTGAATGACGCTAAAATGACTATCCGCGCTGACAGAGCTAAGCAAAATGTGCATAATACCTTTTCTACTCAGATAAACAACCTGGGAGGAATAAAAATTATAACAGTGATTTAGGACGTAGCTCACAACAATAGAGACGCATAGCGTTACACGACTGCATTAACGACTGTAATAAACAGCGGAGTGTAAAACCCGCATACAAGTGCGATTTTAATACGATGAGCGACGTTTTTTAACGTCGCTCATCGTATTAAAAATGTATTGCTTTTAACTTTAATCGCTGGCCCGCAATCGATGAATTCTAATGCCCCATGGGTTTTTATTTTCTCTGCACAGGGGTTTTCAAACATTGACCACGATTAAAACTGCTGCCCTTCATGGCTTCTAGACTACATATTCATAAACACTTCGGAAATTTCATTTTCTAATAATGTGACGTTCTAATAAAATTCCCTCTTTGTTAGAAAAGATGTGTCGAGACCCGACCATTTAAGATAAAAGATTTTTTCTAGCGGCCACAGAATTTGTGCATAATCTAAACCTCATTAAAACCATCAATCTCTTAGTTAAAGATTTTTTTTTACCGTTTCCTTACTCTTATTATGTCAAAAGGTCCTCGGGGTCACCTTTGCTTCGGCTCGGCATCAAAGAGTCGCTCTACTGAGAGGAACGCCCTTGGGGTGGCTCTGGCTAAACTTATTTTTTTTTATTGTTATTTTCAATTTCTAGTAATAATTTTCCGACACTAAAATTTCAACTAGCTTGACTCTATGTTTTTCCGTTCAAAGTTCGTATAATAACGCACCCAAACAGGTGCTCATTAACCGATCTAACCACGCCGTCTATTCACTGGAGACTGTGTTGTCGAAAATGACGGTTATAGTTCGCTACAGAAATGTTCCGTAGGCGTTGATGAGAACGTCTCACAGAATCGGTCAACCTTCTTCATTTATTTGCATATCCAGTGTAGTATCCAATTATAGCGATGGTAATTATATCACAACGGAACACTAGCAAAAAATAATCCATGAATTGGTATGTAGTTAAGTGTTCTGCCGCACCTGCCGTAAATACTGGCCCTATCAGCAGGAAGCACCAGCAGTGACAATTTATGACTAAGATTGCTATTATCCGCAGTGTGGAAGCATCCAGTTGAGATTACTATTATTAGACATGCGACGATATACTGCTATAAGCTAGCGCGCAGACGTAACTATGCTGCCAGGCGAGCACATCCATTTCCTGAAGACTTTTTCTTCTTTCTCTCTTTTGTGGCACTACCGTCGTCGTCGTCGTCGTCGTCGTCGTCGAATAGAGGATGGTCACTTACTCTACTGCCGTAACGTTTACGTATAGGGCATGCAGTCTAAGACGATAACGACGAAGTGCACTAGTCCGCCGAAATAATCGGCCACTCAAATTTGTGGCTGCAGAACGTTTCTGCGGAACTCTACGGCAGTAGCGAATCTCGCTGATTTCGTGCACGCCCATGAACACTCGGAGCCCTGCTTGGTGGTCAGCTAATGAACGAACTTCCTGATGAAAAGCCACATGAGATGAGAGACACTCATAAGTTCGTACTGCCTTAGCCTATCTATCCAGCTCCATACCAGGGGCAGACACACATCTAATGTTAAGCGGTCTCCATATCTGCTTAGCGACGTACAGGTTTTCCTTTAGAAATGGACGGGATACGCGGGCACCTAGCAGAAGCCTTCCTCATAAGTAGCTTAGTTACTTCTTCTGCTTAGTTATACGAAACAAACACCTAAACCTTGCATAAGCATAAATCGATCTATTTTTACATTATCAAGTATCTATTGTTCTATCTACGTTTGACCACGAGCCCGCCTGATAAATTTAAAAACTCTAAAAGTTCGCACATAATTCGCAACAAAGTTCAGCCGTCAGGCTGAGTAGTTATGTGGATTTTGGGAGAAAATTACTTAAGTCACAGAAATAATTGCTGAAAAATATGCGACAAGCATGTTGACAGTATCCATCACTTAAGTTGTTGTCAGCTTAATCGGAAAGATATTTCATTATTTAGTGCTTTTTTCGTCTGGTTAATACTGAAATCGATCGTCTCTACGCGTATTCATGCAAATAAGATTACAACACGTTTCCTTATAACAAAAATATAGTGTTTTTTTGTTCATAGCTTAAAGTTAAAAGAACACAGATTTTAGTTATCTGCGCTTCTGAATATATATCCGTTGAGTTCATATTGTCATATACACAACAATCGTAGTAATTCAATACTGACCCCTACGAAACAAGTAGACGCACTTACCTCATTTAACTTCTCATTTAACTCATGAAAGTTCTAATTCGCATTCCGAGCAAAGTTCAAACCCATTGAGCTATACGTTTGTTCTGGCAGGATACGTACGCCTCGATGGGTTCTACGTCCGTCGAAGAAAATCTAAAGTTGGGGGTGGGCGTTGAGATCAGCCCGAATTTTCCATTACTGCTGCCCGTTTTGAAATTGAGTCCAGCGAGCACTGCTTTTTTGACCCAGGCTCTTGCCGATTCCGAGATTGCATTCGTTGCGATTTTATGTTTCGTTTGCCGTTGTGAACTTTTTGCCTACTCAGCTAATAACAGCTCACAACAAAAATAGTCTGGGCGTTTTTTCTGCATTCGCTTGAGCTCGAAAAGAGAGACCCCTGTGTAGCTCATCGAGGTGATCAATATATTAGTATGATCGGTTGTTCGTTGAAACAATTCTATTTGATATAACGGCATTTGGTGACTTATACGATCAACAACGTCCTTTCTTTGCCGTTGTGCGCCATTTTGATTTATCCTGAAAATAGTCATAATGTCCTTCAATTTAGTAAAATATTTCGATAAAGTTTGCTGAAAAAATAGAAGATGATTCACTTTCAGCGACGTTATTGGATGAGCGTTCCGTCTACGTACGTAAATAGGTCGCTGTAAAGCGACCGTAGGTTGCGATACGGATCACCGCCACTTAACATATGCACTGACCACCATCATAGTATTACGCAAAGTATGCAAAATTGCCATTTACAGATACTTTCGTTTTTTTTCTGCGTTAACTGGTGGGCAATAAACCTTTTTGCTTTACGAATGGCTTAAGTATTACCCCATAGGCATTCTGGAGCCAAAAAAAATTCAAATGCGTTCTCTCGAATAGCTTATCTAAGGAGAATTCGTATAAAGGCATCGAACTATAAACAGTACCGTTAGAAATAACCGACGGGTAAATTACACTGAAAGCACTCGAACACGGCAGTGCTATCTTCCTATTAATGAATTGGCTTAGTAGTACGCCGAAGCCCTACACACAGGTTGAAAATTGCGGAACTACACTATCAGCTACAAATTACTGTTATTCGATTGAAAACTTTAGTACCACAAACAGTGAAGACACAGCCTAAGGCTACGACGAGCTAGTTAACGGTCAGAACATCGACGTGACTATAATTCTAGCTATCGAAATTTATAATCAAAAGCGAAAGATCGATCTCATATCAGTCCTTCTCAATGGTTCAAATTGGTAGCGTCTTATGGCTGTGCTGAATCTATGGTATGTTAATCCGTTCCGGACATTTTCAGGTTATTGGTATCGCAGACATGTTGTTCAGCCTGTCCGCTCTTCTTGGTGGGTTCAGTTACGACTCCATTTTGCTCCAAGAAAGCTAGCTTGCTCCTTCGTTTACCGCCTTTGAGAACGAAGGCCTCAATGAAGAATCATATCTAGATACTGCAATATAAACGGAAACCATAAATGGAACTGTCTATGCTACACTATCAGCCGATGTACGTATAATAAATTGAAGCTGTTTTTAATAGTCATATACTCGGTATTTAAAGTACAAAAACAATACCTTTTCTAGTAACGAAGAGGATAGCGGTAATATATAATGAATTTCCCAACAGGTCTCGGGAATCACAATGTACGTTTGTGACATCCAGTGACTACCCAGATATGTGATGTCAATCTAGGATACGTAGGACCACGAGAGCTGACTGACGAACAATGATAAAATAGTAAGGTAATTTCGAAGAACTACAAGTTAAGATTTCGATAGATTTAATATACAGCTTGGCGTATACATCACGTGGTGGATGAGTGAACTGGGCGACTGAATAGAAACCGGCATTGAAATTCGATTGTCAATAAAACGGCTTGAGAACAGAGGACGGGATGTTTGCATATATCAAATTTTCCTATTGCAGTAGATGAAGCATGGCTTCTACATAGCTACTTGCCAAACACTGGCTCAAATGATGTTATACAAATGCATCGCGTACAATTAAAAAGTAATTGCCCGATCAGTAGGCAACGTGTTTAACAAAAAAATTAAACGTTGTCGGATGTACTATTCTCCAAACAACGAACTAAGTTGTCTGCATAATCGGTAAAACGAATTTCAAGTAGGTTCATATTTAAAATATCGTTATTTAGTTGCGGCCTTTGACACTTACATGAATTTGATGATGACCAGAAGGTGGAGAGTTAAAATTAGCTGGCTAAAATCTCACTTCGTAACGCAACCTTTCAGACATCAAGTAAGTCATTCGTCTATGTCCTCTGCTCTATGTTCCAGCTGCTCTGCGAGGCTTCTGAGGAGCTGCTAAACGTAACGATCTACACTCTAACACCATTAAATCATTATGTAACATTAACTCGTTCCAATCCTATCTTACTTATCAGCATCAGGGTTAGCCCTGTTTGTTAGAAGAGGGGACGAACAAGTGAAAGTGAAAAAATGATTGGAAAAAAAAAACGACTGGAAAAAAGATAGAAAAATAGAAAAACATAGAATACAACCGTTAGAGGCGACTGTGAAAAGCAATGAGAGAGATTTTACCCCTAAACAACACTCTCCTCTCAAATGGATAGTGACTGTGTGTGGACGTTGTCAATAAAAATCGGTTTCTCTTCGAGGTTTCGAGGCAAGCAGACGGGTCGAATGGCCAAACGGTCAAGACACACTCTGCTTCAGCTATTCGTCAGGAGGAAAGGAAGGGCCCCTTTACAGCCGGCAATCACTGGTGGGCCTTCCGTTGATCTAACAACCTCGCCCCCCGCAGTAAGCGGCTGAACGAGCCCAATCGAGGCCATCGCACGGATATGACAAGGACCCAATGGCGGAGCCCAAGAAAGTCAAAATTCGCTGTTGCCTTCCGCTGAGCATTGTCCAACCTCTTTTTGTCACCAGTCAATGATGGAACCACACAAATAGCAAATAAGCCTGTTCCAAGTTTCTTAGATATTTAATGTTTTAAATACCAAATTGTCCTTTTGCGATGCTAAAGCTTTGCAAATTAGTTCTGCGCGTTCCAGATACAGACTGACAAACGGCCGATCGGGTTAACAATGACGAGAGTACCAACAACAGCAACACTAGCCGGTGATTTCTTCGGTTTACATAATTCGCTGATCTATTCGAGTCAACCCAAATAAAAAGCACAGAACCCCGAAAGTTACGAAAAACAATACGAAGAGACAATTTTAAGAACAATTTAGAGGGAGTGTATGTTTGTTCTACGGTTAATTTTGAAGCGACAATAAAGTTTTCGGCAGCTTGTGAAATGCATTCCTATTTATGTGCTCCCTACCGATTTTTTAGCAAACCTATATAATGAATAGGTGCTCTGTGTGGTGGTTCAATACGTAGGCTTAGGCAAAAACTAAAAAGGGGACTGGTATATCTTTGTGGAGGCGTTCTCTCAATTAGATATACTATTTTTTCTATTTACTGGCAAATGAAACAATGTGAGTTGTTCTTAACTGCCAACGTAACGTTCTACGCACTTTCTCTGTTTATATCACTCTATCTCCACTTTTACCACAGGTCATCAAAGGAAAGTCCTTATCATTACGTCAATACAGAAGTGCTAACAAAGACTTTACAGAAAGGCAGGACATGTTGCAAAAAAGTTGACGCGATCAGGTTAACTAAGATACAAATGCCATTACGGCTCAAAAATAGACGTCGTTCGATCGACATCAACTGTTCTATCGCAAAGAACGCCCATGCTGCAAATTTGACCCGGGTTTGTGTGTATTTCTAATAGTGCACTTTGTTCTTTTCATTCTGTGTACATTCCTTTAGTGCATTATTAATGATCTTTTCTGGAATTGTCATTGGTAATTCGAATTATGTGTGTTTTAAGGCTGTCGGCAAAGTCGTTGTAAGCACCTATAGCATTGGTTTGTATCACAGATGAGGAAACAGATAGCAACGGTCCGAAACAGAGCCTTAAAATATTACAGGTAGGCCCTGGAAGGATCATATCACGTCATGTCTCATTTATCTTAACTCGGAAGTTATGACCTAGTTTGATCTAAGCATAGGTATTTTATGGAAACGGAAGTGCACTGTTTAGCGTGACACGATGTTCCGGTCCATCAAAACTAACTGAGATAACCTATCTCCTTAAACAAACTTTCAGTAACAAAACAACGATGCCGCTACTTAGACTTATCTAGAGCCAATGCAAACCTTCACCTTAGCATCTTAATTTCGAAATTTTGGCTGGAAGGTCCTACAGGCGTTTTCCTTGATGATATGGCAAGTACTTCATATTTGAGACTTGCTCTTATAAATAGACTGAAAACGGCTAATTGCTTTGCAGTTTCCCTTATTAGCTTAAACACACTGATGGATATTCCTTTATAAGATTATAAAATTTAGATTTTCTATGCTTCTAGAGATATTTTTGCATAATGTATTCCGTTACGTGAAACATGAATATAATTATTTAAACCTTCACACTCTCATCAGTCGCGAATCGCGTATGGGTATTTGTTTTTTTCATTTACGCAGTGGTGTAGTGTGCACAAAATAATAATTATCAGTTAATTAGGCTATTCGAAATAGATCTACGTACGATACAAAGAAAATTGGGGAGTATTTACGCGATACAGCGGAACAAATGGCGTTAACTTCAATGCTATTAACAATACTCGCGACGCTAAACACTCGTATCGGTAAAGCAATATGTACGAAACATAACGTGAGTACTGAGCTTTAAGCATAGCATAATATTACAAATTAAATATGCAAAAACTATTCACATTTGTTTATAGGTTTGATTATGTGCTGTTTACTGCAGAACCGCCAAATTAATTCCACTGTGAGATATTCTCATCATTTAAAGAGTATCAAAAATATCTCAGCATTGTCAACACACATATATATATATATATATGTATATGTCTATATATACGCGGCAAGAAGCAGGTCAGAAGACAATCAAGTTCACAGCCTCGAAATGGGCTCTATTTTTATATTACGGCAGGATATAGTTGCCATCTGCTGGTAACCATGCCGGCGTCTCTTCCATTGAATCCGTCTCTATTTCTCCTGGCTGATCATCTATCACTGCGTAGCAAGTATATTTCTTCCCCTAAGAACTGCTCTTATACGAAGGAACCATTCCCACTCGGGCGCCACCATCTCACCTTTATCGTGCTGCAAGTCTAATGAGGAGAACTTTAATTCATTAGCGAAGTCTGTCTTCCTGTCCTCCATACAGTTTGTATCTATATTGCCTCTCAGTCTTTGTGAGTAGATTGAGGAGGCTCCATCCACATCATTAGATGAACTAGGCCATCATCCTGTTGATGAGCGAACGTGACACACTGTCTGTACCCGTTAAGGACCGCTTTGGCCTTCTTCTGCTCTTGCTACTGTCTCACAAGAGTATCTCAGCAACCCCTTAACTGCTATATGTCTATAGCTTGATGCATGTGGTCATACGATTATAAGAATCGTATATGCTGTGTCACATGTCAAATGTCTATAGACAGCTGGTGGAAATCTGGCTGTTATTCGATGTTGAAATGTATACACACTCGGTGTTCATCGTTTCTAGAAGAAGTCGTGTTGATGTTTCGAATGAAAACATGCACAGCGCCGTGTTGTCGTTTCCAATACGTTGTGACTTGTCGAATAGCAAGCAAGTTCAACTGTGGCATAAGCGGACATTGCTTTTTTAAAGCGTCGATTTTGTGACATGTTCTACTATTTGTGGTCAATAGAAAAAAGCCTTTATCTCGCAAGGAAAACGGCGCGCTGCATTAAACAAAGTTGGATAATTTCTCACTATCCCGAACCAGAATACCGACAAACTCCACGACCCCAAAACACATGCCCAGCACTTCCTGTTTGACGATCAGCAAAGTCATAAAACGGGTAATGCTACGGATATATAATTGTGAGCATTATCTTTATAAATTTCAATACTAGTTTTAATTTCGTGTGTGTGTGTGTGTGTGTGTGTGCGTGTGTCTGTGTGTGCATGTGTCACATTTAGATTCCGTTAACAAAACGGTACAAGCATACCTTAGCCAAGGAAATAGAAGTTGGTGCATTTTAATTTGCTATGCAATTTCTGTAGGTTTCCGCGCAGTTGAATTTAAAACCTATTGGCATACAATAAAAAGAACGATGGAAATAGGTACTAGCCTATTACAAGCGAATCCGGCGATTTTTAAATTGAGTAACTGACTAAGCTAGAATAATTAATAATTGTTTTTATATGTATTAGAGGTGTTGTCCTTCTTCTGGCAGCTTCTGGGCAGTCATATACCTACTATTCGTGTTCCAATATGTAATTTCTCTGTCTACGCCTTTCCTTTGTATTGTACGGTATTGATCTATCCTCGCCAATCAGTTGCCCTTTCCAGGGCATGGAAAGCTCCTTAATCACATGGACTTAAGTTGGAAGAATATGCGGGTTTCACCCGATGTTGGATATTCATTTGTTCATTCCAGGAAGCTACTGGTGTCTGGTGTTATTGTCAGCCAAACTGCGTGCCTGTAATTCCTGTGCCAACGGCCTATGGATGTCCTGAGGAACTTCACGGCGGACTTCGGTTGTTGCTTCATTTTTGGCGAATATCTCGCAGTAGGCGATGTATCACGCTACATACGAACTTACTCGGTACTACCAGCGAACTCCATTGCTCCCCAATGCTAGTCCCTCTTCAGCTGGCGGTAGAGATAGAACCACGCCTCATCTATGGTGACCGTATACTCTACACGGGTTTTACAAACCGCACGTAGAATACAACACACATATATCCAACTGGCCGAAGAGTCAATTCACTGATTATTAAGTTTGTACTCTATTTCAGTGTTTTTAGTGTTTGGGTAAAAGTTCTGTAACACGCGACGGGAATGTCCTGCGGATTTCGCTATTTGAATCACTTTCTCCCTGGTCATCCAGTACTGCAACGTTCGTTCTTCAAACATTTCTATTATTCACGTGCTGCGCTCTCGCTCAGTGCCTCCTTGCTTAATGTCTTCGCCAATCTTCGATAAAGTTCGACGGCAGTGTGACCTTCGGGGGACAAAAACTTGACCACTAAGCATTCATTTTCGATAAGTTTCTGGAAGACTGGAGTATCGGTTTAGCGGTTATACTCCGTCTACTAGCGGCGCGAAATTCAAAAAAGTTGTTCAGTTCCAAAGTTGACCGGATTCACCTGTAACAGCCTAATATAACAAATGGCTCATTGAACACACTGCGATATGTCTTCAAAAAGTTGAGTTTGGCAGTCGTCATTATACCTGGCTTTCTGTTAGGTTTACATAGTGTAGGGTACTTAATACAGACCCGGGCATCGACAATCACGAAATAGTGTACATTCAGAAATCGAAATAAGAATATTATATGCAAAACAGCATCGTGTTACAGCATCGATAGAATCTAGTAACTTTAGAGAAGTTGGGATGTGCCCTGAAGA